GCCCTCGGTGACGAGGCCCTCAGGCCCATGGCCACGGGGACTGTGGGGGGCATCCCGGGCAGGGGGCAAAAATGTCAGAGGCAGTGGGGAGAAGGGGGGCTCACCTGGCCAGCAGACCCACGGCATAGTGGTGGGTGTCAGCACAGAGCAGTGTGTCCCAGCCACGCTTGTGTTCCATTGCCACCACCACATGCTCCAAGTGGAGACTGCAGAGCAGGGCCTTCAGGGTCTGCACTGCAAACCTGTGTGCACAGCAAAGCCCAGGTGATGCTGGGAGTGCTGGCTCTGAGGCTGGGGAAGTGGCAGGGACAGGAGGACTGGCATGGAGCACCTGTTGGGGCTGGTGGAGAGGCCGTGTTGCTCCTGGCATTCCTTCCAGAAGGTATGGACGTCCTCTGTCATATACAAAGTACTGAAGTACGTTTGGAAGAGGAGATGCACAAAGAGGCGGGGGAAATAGACTGTGAGGATCTGTGGGCAACAGGGCCCCTGGAGGATCTTCCACATCACCAGAGTTGCCTGCAGAGGACAAAGCAGCCCGAGACAGCGCTCAGTGCCGGGGCGTCCGTGTGGCAGGGCCTGAGCGTGGCAGGGAGAGGCCGGGGCAGACGCAGGGGGAGCAGCGGGCCTGGTGGCCCTGAAGCTGCCCCTAGGCCAGGTTTGTGGCCAGTGCCTGAAGCAGGGAGATGCAGTGGGGGAAGGAGGCAACAGAGCTGCTGGAGAGGCGGCCGGCCTTGCGGTGAGCAAAGGCCAGCTCCAGAAACTCACAGTCAGGGAAAAGACAGCCGTCTTGTCCCCATCAGAGGTGCCCAGGTTTTTCTGCGGCCAGCTCCCCACCACATTGATGAGGAGCGGTGTCACTTCCTCTGAAATCCAGGGCGAGAGCAAGATGGTCGTCCACATGGCCATAGCAGCTCTGCGGGGTCAGACACAGCACCGTGGGCTGGGCAGCAGCGGGGAGCTGAGCTGGCCGCCAGCTCTGCCTATGCCCACTGCCCCTGAGCGGCAGCAGCAGCCAGGCAGCCCAGCCCTGTGGGGACAGGCCCCTGAGGGGCAGGCTGGCAGCACGGCAGCAGGCTCGGGGGCCGACTTTGTAGCAGGGCTGGCAAAGGGAGCAGCCAGAGGGCCCTGCAAGTCTGTGTTGCTCACAGCCCTGGGCCGGGCTGTACAGGGTGATGGGCTGGGGAGCCCTGAGGCCTCGGGCCAGCTGGGCCCCATACCTGTCACACGTTGGGGCCACCTGCAGGAGGGTGATGGCCACATCATCGGGCTCTGCCTCGGCCACTTGCATCAGGGCCCAGTCCATCCTGTGCTCAGCAGCCTCATTGGCCATGAGCCACTGGTGGATGTACCTCACCACGCCGGGCACCTGGAGAAGGCACAGGGAGACTTGGAATGCCAGCAGAGGGAGTCAGCAATGTGCCCAGCTTCTTCCTCAGACAAGTGCTTCTCTTCCAGCACGCTGCCATGGCCTCAAAAGCTCCAAGTGAGCAGCAGGCGTGGCTTGGGAAAGCCAAGCAATTGCTGGAGGATCAAAGGCTGGCCACAGGCTGCTTACTTGCTCTGGATTGAAAAGAGCCGTCTCTACAAGCAAATCCAGCTGGGCAGCGCTGCTCTGTTCTACCAAGACCTCTGAGGATGCTTTGACCTCAGTGTCCATAGGTCTGGTGTCTTCCTTGCCAATTCTCTTGATGTATTGGTAAAGAAACTGTAGGAGAAGGGCAGGAAGGCAGGGAAGTTGCATGGAGTGCTCCAAGTGCGGTGCTGGGCTGAGCAGTGCCAGCAGGCCCAGCGCTGGTGGGGATGGCTGCAGGTACCTGCGCTGCTCTGCGGAAGCGGCCACGGGCGGTGTCCTGCTCTTGTGTGCCGTCCATGGCTGCATCTGGCAAAGAGCA